GAAGTAAACAAAGTTTCCGTTAAAATACCACGATTCTGGATTGAACGAACGGATGCATGGTTCAGACAAGTTGAAGACCAGTTTAAATTAAGCGGAGTCACTACTGAAGGTACGAAATTTGATTATTTAGTATCTCAATTAGATATAAAATTCGTAGCAGATATAGTTGATATTCTAGATTCAGAAAATGAAGCAAAAGATTTACTTACCAAAACAAGACTTTTGAGCCTTTACAAAGAGAGTGAAGAATCACAAATAAAACGGTTAGTTGCTGGTCTAGAACTCGGTGACTTAAAACCAAGTCAATTATTGCGAAAATCTGATTTTTAATTTTGATGTGGAGAAAAGTGAATATAGTATTTTCAGTCGCTTTTTCAAAGTCTTTCGTTTCATTTTGATTCATGTGGGCCCCACGTCATCCTTCTGTCAAATATTAACCCGAGATAACGTACTGTGTCCGTCTGAGGAATTCGGTTCTCCCCTATATAAACTGGTGGGCATGTGTCTCATTGAAGTGTGAATGTTATATCATGTGATTTGTCATGATTTAATCTAGTTTTCCAAAGTTATTGTAAATTTAGCAAGGGATTTTTCAAATTCAGTGTGGCTATTCTGGGGTCGTGATTTTTTGTTAAAATTGTTGTATCGTCAGCGTAAGTAGCAGTAAATGTTTCGGAAGTGGTAGGCATGTCATGAGTATAGATAATGTAGAGTAAACCAAAATTTAATGGGTATCACTGAAATTTTATATTGGGTCTTTTGAGAGTGATTAACAGGCCCGTAATCGTACAAATTCAAAGAGATATACTCAACATAAACGAGCTTAAACATGGACTACCCATGACGCAATCATAAAATAAAATAAATATTTAAAAAATAAAAGTGGTGTAGATAACTTATAAAGCAAAAACAGGTTTTCGAAATGCCAAAACAATATTTTCATAGTGTCTAGCATTTACCAAAAAATTTAAATCAGAAAACGCAGAATGACAGTTTTATAATAAGATAAATATAATTTTTGTAAATCTGAAAATGATAAAATATGAAATTCTGCATAACTATATCAATGTTTTCATCACCGTCAACTAATGAAACATTCCTAATCAGTTTCAGCTACTAGTACAGCAAAACTATTCTCTTAATTTACGTTTTTACGTTCACTTACCTATATATGTAATATATAGTAAGGGTAAGTATTGCGATCGTGAAAATTTTTGAATGTAAGTTTTCAACGGAAATATACGTTTTGAGGGTCAAAATAACTCGCAAAATGCTAGGTATGTACGAATGTGAACAACCTAGCTCAAAAACGAAAAGTCGTACGAAACTGAAATTGCATATTTAAGGTTTTTCTAACCCTTGAATGTTACAGCAAATTTTTCGTAAAAATCGGAAAAACCGGTACTTTATATAATCGATTTAACACATTTTTACGATATTCTCAAAAACCGTTCTAACGATTTTGATTAAACTCAGTATATCACTGTATTATTAAATAGTTTTAATATAATGTAGCTCTTATCCTCATTTATGTTCTCTAACAGGGCTTAAATGGCTTATTTTCAATATCAGCTTACTCTAAAGTACCTTTATTTTTTACTTTCACTTACGTATATATGTAATGTATAGTAAGGGTAAGTATTGCGATCGTGAAAATTTTCGAATCTCAGTTTTCAACGGAAATACATATTTTGAGGTCCCCTGAGTTCAAATAACCAAGTGTCGCAAAATGGTCTGTGTGTGTGTGTGTGTGTGTGTGTGTGTGTGTGTGTGTGTGTGTGTGTGTGTGTGTGTGTGTGTGTGTGTGTGTGTGTTAACAGTCTAGTTCATAAACGAAAAGTATTACGAAACTGATATTAAGTATTTAAGGTTTGCATATGGGCCGGATGTGACAGAAACTTTTTCGTTAAAATCGACTAACTGGAAGTGCCACTTTATATGAAAGCTGAAACACATTTTTACAATTTTCTTAAAAACGCCTCTAACGATTTTGATCAAACTCGGTGTATCATTGTATAATTAAGTGGTGTTTAATATCATTTAGGTCTTATCCCCGTTGATGTAGCTTTACAAGGCTTAAATGCCCAAAGTTCATATATGTCTTCCTCTAATGTACCTTTGATATGGTTTATTTTAAAAAGTTAACCATTTCGCATTATTCAGTGTTACTAAATAATTCTACATATAACTTTTGAAAGAATTTGATAAGTTAATAAAGGAGAAAAATGTTTTTTTTTAAAGTTTATGGAATTTCCTAAAAATACAAAAAAAAAATCGTTAAAATCGCACAATTATTAAGAAAGATATAATCTCTAGTTTTTTCCCTGAAGAGGCTAAAAATTGGGATAAATTTAAAATATACTTTTTTAATAATTGAGACTAAAAAAACCTCTTTTCTACAGATATTTAATAAAGAGTCTTTTCTAAGAACACCTTTCATAAAAAATAATACCTAAATTTATACCTTCATTCTCAGTTCTATATTTCAACAATGCAATCACCACCTCTGGAATCAACTTACTCATTGTCTGCATAGATAAGTTTTTCAACTAAAAATATCACTAAAATGACATCACTCAAAAATGTTGAAATTGGAGTTAGTCATTCTGTGGTTTATAAAAGCAGGAGTGACTAGATTTTTATTGCCTGTCGTCGATATATTAAATAGACATTTTGTAATTATAATGGACTTAATGACTTGTTATCTGTAAGCTTTAGCCACTTCAACAAATTTTATAATAGCCCAGCATTGCCAGAAAATAATTTCTATTTAAAGTAGATCGGTAAGTGAAAGTTGTGTGTTGCGCGCACCAGATTTTTTTTTATTTGAAATAATAAACCTTTTCTCATTAATCTTTAATACAAGAAATAGTAAAATATAAAATATGAAAACATTTTATAATTAACTAAAGGATATATAAGAGATCGTAACTGATAATAGTTGTAATGGAAGAACCAAAGGAATACGAGCGCATCCGAGCTCGGCTGAAAGAGTACAACGGGCTTCCATTCCTAGCATGAACTTCATTTAATACGGACTCTCACAATATTATGTACATATATATATATATATGTACATATATATATATATATATATATATATATATATATATATATATATATATATATATATGCGGTTTTTATAAATTCTATCGTTGGTATTATTTAATATTTAAGCAAATAAAAATACTCACAATGAAATGTAAATAAATATACCTATAACCTAACTTCCACTCCATATGATCAGTGCCTTTCACATTCCACTGTCATTATGTTATTAACAGTTATTTATATTAATTTTAATTATTAAATGGAATTCAATGAAATTCATACTAGGAAATTTCTATATTATTATTCAAATTTTCTCCAAATTTGGGTCAAATTGAACGCCTAGTTTTCAAACTATAGACTTGCCGAATAATACGTTTGCTGATCTGAAATCTAAATTATTTTTTCTAGGAGAAGTGGATAGAATTTTATAAAATTCAAACCTACTTTATTATCTGTTTACAAATCTCTAACTTCCCTCCAAATTTGAGCCAAATCAGGTTTAGAGATATAGTTGAATCAAGAAAAATACATTTGCGCATATATACAAGAAATTAGAGGACAGAATTCAATAAAATTGACATTACGTTATTTTTTCACTATTACCTACATTTTATCTATGTTTGAGCCAAATCGAACTAGCCCTTTCTGAAATACAGGCATATCAGAAAAAATACGTTTGCGTACTATTATCCAAATTTTCTCCAAGTTTGGGTCAAATTGAACGCTCAGTTTTCAAACTATAGACTTGCCGAATAATACGTTTGCTGATCCGAAATCTAAATTATTTTTTCTAGGAGAAGTGGATAGAATTTTCTAAAATTCATACCTACTTCATTATCTGTTTACAAATCCCTAACTTCACTCCAAATTTGAAGCAAATCGGGTTTAGAGATGTAGACAAATCAAGAAAAACACCTTTGCGCTTATATATGAGAACTTAGAGGACATACTTCAATAAAATTGACATTACGTTATTTTTTCACCATCACCTACCTTTTATCTAAGTTTGAGCCAAATCGAACGAGCCCTTTCTGAAATACAGGCATATCAGAAAAAATACGTTTGCGTACTATTATCCAAATTTTCTCCAAGTTTGGGTCAAATTGAACGCTCAGTTTTCAAACTATAGACTTGCCGAATAATACGTTTGCTGCTCCTAAATCTAAATTATTTTTTCTAGGAGAAGTGGATAGCATTTTCTAAAATTCATACCTACTTCATTATCTGTTTACAAATCCAGATTTGAAGCAAATCGGGTTTAGAGATATAGATGAATCAAGAAAAACACCTTTGCGCCTATAAACGAGAAATTAGTGGACAGAATTCAATAAAATTGACATTACGTTATTTTTTCACCATTTTATCTAACCTTCACCTTTTATCAAAGTTTGAGCCAAATCGAACGAGCCCGTTCTGAAATACAGGCATATCAGAAAAAATACGTTTGGGCATAAGCGGAAGTGCTGGATAGAATTTGATAGCATCGATATGGAATCATCTAGGCACTATCCCGCAAAATCTCTAAACAATTCATGAAAATCGGATGAACGGTAGGTGATATGCCCGTCACATCGATTTGACTACAGACAGACAGACACCGAACCAAATTTGATCCTTGGTGTCTAAAACGTACAACGCGAGTGGAAATTTTCGATTGTGAGCACAAATTCATTTTTAACCTCTCGCACGAGCACAAAGCTTCCCTTCGGTTGTGAGGAAGCAAAAAGGTGTACTTAGAATTTAATTAACTTGAATAGTTTTAAATAAACGTCTTGTAATTCAATAAAAAAACGTGATAATTTTAAGGAAGACACAAAATTGGTCTTAACATGCATCAAATGACATTTTTTGTTAGAAATTTTGTCTAGAATCATCTCCACTCATACCTCAGTATTTAATAATGTAGACCTGAGACACTTTTTATTTTTAAAGTTATACGTTTAACTCACCAACAAGAAATAGGATTAGCGCAATTCCAAACAGACTAAGCTTTAACATAATGAAAAATAAATTAAGAAACTGAATCTTAGGAATGAAGCATACAGACCATAAACCATCAAAGGTAATAAAATCAACGATTGCCAATTATGGACCATTAAAGTAATGCTCTTATTATCATAACTCAAGCCATAAAATTTTATCATTTGATGCACTGTTTAATAAAACAATGGTAGTTTGACTTTATCGTCTGTTCATATTCAAATCGCCTTAATGAATTGTTTGAAAATTCAAATAGCAACTCTTAATAAGAGGTATATTGCAAGCTATTTTCTGGTTTATTATTTATTTATTACTAGTTTGATTCTGTATACAAAAAAAGATAAATAAAAAGTGTTTATAGATACGGCCGTGCGAATAAATCTCAGAAAATTTTGTTTAGTGAAGAAATAGCAAAACAATATGGAAATATGTAGATCCTCTGTATTATGTAAGGAAGGAATTAATATTTTTTCCTTGGTCAATTACACATAATAGAAAAAAATATTTGTACAAACTGCTTTACTAGAACCTATTTTTAAAACCTGACTGGAAAGATAATAAAAGTGATAAAGAAAAAATAATAAACCGATCATGGAATTCTCTAAATTATTAAAAAAAATAAAATGTATGAACAGCCAAATGTCTTTAAGAAATATTAAAGTTAATATATCAGCAAGGAAAAAAAGTGTAGGAGACTATACTAATCCTGAATGCAATATCTTAATACAGGAAGACTTTGATAATTGTCCGATTTTTTTTTTTTGTTTTGCAGTTAATTTAGCAATCTTTCTAATTATCATGGATGCAATCTAGAAAAAAATGCAAACTTTTTGAGTTATTCGCGAATAAAGTTACTTTTTTTCCAGAAATTTCGGGGGGATAGGACTATTTTTCACATGTGAAGGAGAAGAATATCTTCAAAATGAGTCAAGAACTGACAAAGCTATGGCTAACCGACAAAAAAACACTTTTTAGAAATAATAATATAGGTAAATTGCATGAATTACTTAATGGTTAGATAAATTACAATATCGTTAAAAGTTAAAAAAAAATAACTACTAAACCACGATAAATAGAAAACATCATATACATTTCCAATCAAAGAAAAAACTTCCTAAAATTAAATATAATATATTAACAAATATAATTTATTTACAAATATAACACGCATTGAAAAATTGATACGCTGCTAAATACAACCCAATAAGGAAAATTGTTTATTCGAAGTTGGAAAAAAAAATTCTCTGGAAAAAAAAGTCAACTTTTTTCTCGGAAATGTATATTTGCTGAATTGATACGGGCGTGTTTGGATAAAAGATGGCAAATCACTGGGAGCAAAATAAATATTGATTCTTAAATTATTGATACCGCACAGCTTTATTTACACAATTAAATATTTTTATATGATATTAAAATAGAATTCATAATGGAATTCGCACATTCCATTCGACGATACATCAGTTGCACAGAGTTGCAGACTACATTGCTGGAGCTTTAGAACAAAAACTATATGCAACTGGAGTATTTTTGGATGTTGCTCAGGCGTTTGATAGAGTCTGGCATCAGGGTCATCTCTTTAAACTTAAGACTATACTACCATACACGTACTATCTTATCCTTCAATCTTTCCTCTTAGACAGATTTTTTTTTCAGTTCGGCAGGGCTCGGAAATGTCTTCAGTTCGTAAAATCTTGGCAGGAGTTCCCCAAGGTTCAATACTAGAGCCTCTACTTTACGTTATATACACTTACGATATACCTATTAACGATGAGATCTTGACAGTTACTTATGCAGACGATACAACAATCCTCACAAAACATAAAGACCCTGCACAGGCCACACTAACTCTAAAACATTACTTGCTATAACTACAAGATTGGTTCACACAATGGAAAATTCGACTTAATCATGAAAAATTCAAACATACAACATTTACTCTTCGAAAAAAACACCTGCCCTCCTGTCTATATTGACAACAATCAAATTCCTCAAACGTACACGGTACTTTACCTTGGACTCACCTTCGACAGAAGGATGACATAGGGCCCACATGTTAAAATGAAACGTATGACACTTCACAAACGACTCAAACTACTTTACTCTCTTTTTGCCAAATCTTCAAAAGTAAAACTAAAACAGAAACTGAATACATATACATACTTACTTAAGCCCATATGGACGTACTCATCACTAAAGAGAACTCCTAACCACCTACAAAAACTTCAAACGTTCCAATCAAAATTATTGCGACTCATAACAAAAGCACCTTGGCACTTTCCAACAGTTGACCAACATATAACGACCCTTTATCAACGATTTTACGCAAATTTAAATGGATATAATAACAGACTAATAAGAGACATGGCCACAGCTGACATACCTCAGAACATGAGGAGGAGACTAAAAAGGCGTTGGATGAGGGATCTCCTTCCTTAGACAACGTAAGTAATTGGAACAAGTTAGGGAAGAGGTACTGCTGAGTACTTTCCTTCCCCATGCCTGTCATGTCATTATTTCCTGTATCGCCATCACATTTGCTGATTGTCAACAATAATTTGACAGCCACAAATACATATTTTATAGACAAAAAAAATAATTATTATTAAATCTTGTTTATTGGAAATATATATAGATAATGACTACACCTAGAAGAATGTTCCGTAAGTAGCGGGAAATATTTAATACGTTGATAGTAGACATCTAGATCTAAAAAAACTTTCATATAAACAATTACCCAATTTCCAGCAGAAAAGTAAAAAATTTAAACTTTGTGTTTTTTATGACCAGTAATGTTTTTTGTTGAATAAGAAGCAATAACTTATGAAAAATATTTGATTAAGGTAATTAAACATTGTTCCATAGTAAACTAGACAAAAGTTACTTTGAAAGAAAGTAAGTTTGTCATTATTAAAACTATCTAAAGAAGACTTTTAAGCATAAAAACACGGCTAAATTCCGTTTATAAAAAAAATAAAAAATAATTTGTGTGTTTTTTTTTTTTATCAACCTTCAACTGCACTGCACTTACCCCGCTTTAGAGAAAACTAGCTCGTTTAATAAGCTTTAAATCCATATTAATTAATTTGGAGTTTATAAGAAAAAAATTTGAGATTCACTTCAAGTTGTGTAAAGACATGATGTGATTTTCAATCCAATCACCTAAAAGTACTTGTGTTTTAGCAAAAATGACTACCGTTGATAAACTGTGGAAAAAAAAATATTTTTTTTCAGTGTAATGTGATGTATTGTAATAAACATAAATTTTTAACCTTAAAACACTAGTATGTTATATATATATATATACTAATATGTTGTATATATATATATATATATATATATATATATATATATATATATATATATATATATATATTTATTTATTTATTTATTTATTTATTTGACGCGGTTTCTTTTTAAATTTCTTCCTTTCTGCCCATCTCTGTTCGATGATATCTCTAAACTTTTTCTTCCTCTCATCCGTCCACTTCCTCCTGGACGGAAGTTCCTTACTGTCCACCACAAGCATTGTGGTTTTCAGGAATTTCTTCTATTCTGTCCTATCCTCACATAATTCCCGTGTTTTCCCAAGCCTCTGTATTTCTTGTTTTATTTGTACCTCTCCTCGGTCATCTTTTGCATGTGTCCATAAAACCTAAGTCTTCTTACTCTCATTTGCGTTTCCAAATCAGAGGTTTCACTGTAAATCTCCTTATTGGATTTCAGTCTGTATCCTTCTGGTGTTTGGGCCCATGGATTCTTCTAAGAATCCTTCTTTCTATTTTCATTAGCTTCTCCAAATATATATATATACAATGATATGTAAAATATGTTCAATACAGTTTCTGTTATTTCTGTTACCTTGTATTATACTTTGATTTTATACGAAAATAACATAGAGAGAATGGTAAGGATGCATGCTTCTCGAATGGATTAATTTCCCACTTCCCTAAGCTCGAAGGGAAGTTGGCTTTGCAGGTGATGAGCAGGTGAAACCTAATAATTATTAGAATATGTTATAGCGAGCTTACTTCGTTAAGAGCTAATGTTCGCGTTACGGGATAACAACACGCGCTTTGTGATAATCCAAGCACTGGCATCTCTCACGCGTCTATGTTAATTAGTAATCCAACTGTATGTATTTTGTTAAAATAGAAAAATACAAAAATGTTCAATAAAAAAATCTGGTGTGTCCACTCACACGACTTTCCTATCTATTTCAGAAACGTTTTTATATCTTTACATATGTACATTAGAGTACGATTTATTTGATAAACTAAAGCAATATAAACCGAGTTAAGGTAGATCAGTGTAAAGATGCCAATACCCTCTAATATTATTGATCAAAAATTTTTAGCCATAGCCTAATTTTGTCAAATAATAATTTCTGTTAAAAGTAGAGAAAATAGTGAAGCTTGTGTGATGCGGGCAACAGATTTTTTTTATTTCACTTAGTCATCATTTTTCTCTCATTCACTGCTTTCTGACACCAGGATATGAACCCGTAATCTTATATTGGAAATTGAATAGCTGTAACTTCGTTAATTATTGTCCGAAATGAATGATTTTTATATAATTTTGAAGGGAATTTCACTACCTATCAAAATATTGCGCTATAGCTATTGGGCATGGAGCATCCAATTTGTGTCACAAGCATAGTTAAATCCTTACAAAAAAAAAAAGAAGTAACATAATCGGTTCAGTAGTTCCCGGTGAAATCTTGGCACAGACAGACCAATTGCTAAAAATGTGTTGTTCGGAATTAGGGGGCTCAGACACGTATAGATCCGTCGAGAGCAAGCATATAGGAAATTTGACCCAATTGCCATACTTTTCTTATCTAGTATAGGTAGGAAAGTAAAAAACACCTAAGGTGTGATTTTTTGACCACAATTTGTTAAAAGATAGAGGTTAAAACATCAACAAGGCGAGATTAATAATGTGGTGTATCAAAACAAACTAATTACCGTTTTATCAAATTCAAGATATCAAAGGACTGTAAATATTTTAATCATTTTAGA